AGAGATAAAAAATAAATTTGTAATAAACAATACACAAAACTATAATTATAAGATATAATTAATAATATAGTATTTTATAAATATTTTATTGTAATACAATATTTTTATTATAATAAAAAACTGCAATTCTATATTATATGAACAAATAAACGCTCTTTTGTTTGGATTATTAAAATTGTTATTCAGTTAGATATTTGCGACATCAAATCGCTATCATTCTCCGCAATGTCGCCGTCGTCTGTATCGTTTGGATAGTTAATATATATCAATACTTTATGTATTCCGCATAAGCAGCGTGCGCGGTAGGTATTTGCGTTTATTAGTTATAAACTCTGCAGGTGGGGCTCGCTGCTACGGGACGGATTTATGGACCGTGCACTTTCCGCGAAAATGACAGTCCGAAGACGAAAAGCTTTGTGCATTATGCGTTGTTGTGGAAAAGTGTTGAACGTGCGCTAACATATGATTATGTTATACATTGATGTTCATACATGGCTTAATGAAATGAACAGTTAGAAACTCATCTTGTATCATGACACGACTTTACTCCATAAATTTATTTTCTTGCGAGAAAGTACGATTAGGACTAATCAATTTTATCAAATTGTGGGAAAATCAGTGGGTTCTCCAAATCAAATATAAGAACAGCGTGATTTCAAGATTAATTTAGTTTAATTTATGCTCTTAGGTTTTTATTATCTTTGTTAGCAGAATTTCTCTTCTTAAATGTCTTCCTTTTTTAATCATGTCTTTCAACTGAGAGAAATATTCCTCGAACGTTTCAGCAAGATATTTGGAACGCTTTTCGTTCGTCTTAATTAAATTTAGACGGAATGCTCAGGTGAGTTCTTCCATTGTACGTACCAGGTGATGCAACTAACACCATTCTACCTCGTTATTTCTGATGCTGTATTCTGCTATCCTGTTAATTTACGCGCGGCTAAATGAAAGGTGTATTTGGATGTGCGACAATATAATACTAAGGTAGCATATACTTCTGTATAACAACGAGGTCTAATATTATTCATGAATTTATACAATAGGAAGAATTAACATTGAAATTTTTGATTGCGCTTATACAAACACGATATTATCCATTTTGATAAAAAAATATTAAATAACAACAAACTTTTGATAAATGCAGTTTAATTTACATATAATAAAATTTTAAAAGAATATTTTTGAGAACGGTGTTACAATATTTTTATTTTATAGAAAAATTTGATATTGTTACATATTATATGTATACTTGCCACAAAATGTTAAGAAATAAAATAATTTTGTGTATCTAGATTCGTAAATATATGTCTAATATCAGTTTACTTGAAACGACGGCGATGCGTCTCCCTCGCCAAATTTGATACATGCGACTAAAATTGACATTGTGTGCGCTCAGCGTTCATACAGGATGCAGAAAAGATCGTTCATCATTCTGCATAGCGTGCAGTCGGATACGGAGAACATGGAAAACGTCACAGGAAGTGGATTCTGAGAATACTTTCAAACTATTTTCTTCGCGACGCTATAGCAAAAACGCAAAGTGCGGTTGCTTTCGGCACAATTGATCGTTGTGCAACGTAAGTTCTCTTGCACGCATAAATATGATAGCGATATGGAAATTTTACTTAATGCTAGAGAGATGGAAACTTTTAAGAATCCCATTTATCAAAGTTTCGCGACGGTTACAAAGTCTGCAGTAAATTTTATTTTGGAAAACTTTATTTTGCAGAATCGGGCATGCATGTAACGCGCTTCAAAGACTACTCTATCTCAATTATTGCAAAAATCGTAAAAATTATAATTTAGGCTTGTATTATGATTATTTATGCATCTAGACGTTTTCTCAAAAGTAACGATTTATTGCATATTTGTACAAAATTGGACTAATCAAACAAAGAAGAAGGAAGACGTTAATTTATAATTTATGGGTACAAGTTCAATCAATCTTTCTTTATTTTATACAGAGTTATACACTATGTGCGGTAATAAAATGGTCTGGTTCTTATTGCAGGAAAATCTATTGTTCTAGATAATATATATGTCCTGTGGAAGATTCATTTGTATCTGAAAACAATTTAAAATTGTGATGCTTTAAAAAATCAACTAAAATAAACTAAAGTAAACAAAAGTAAACAAAAGTAAACTAAAATAAAATCAACTAAAGTTCGTTATTTTTGCGAGAAAATGTGCAAATTATCGAGTAATATTATTTTATATTTATGTGTACTCTTCAAATATACACTCTGTTTTTCAATATTACAATGTTTTGAATAAATATTGAGAAGTTCGTGATGCCGCCGTTTGAAAGTTTACGAGAGATACTTGAAGCATCCGAGGCGTTTGCGTATTCTTACATATATATGCATATATATTTTCCTTTTACTGAATGCTCGACATATTTCGCGGATACGAGAGGCTCGCGTACGTTCGTTTCGACATTCTAATTAAACGAGATCGCAGTTAAACAAACCTTGCACATATTCGAGAGTGGTAAGGTCCGTTTTCGTAATTCGAATTAATAGAACTGGACATTATTGCGTCGTCGCCATTGCTGTCACCGTCGTCGTCACCGCTGCGAGCTTTGAAGTTAAAGGCAGCCTATTCCCGGGAAGCTCTCGGCGCATTCGAGCAAACGAGCCGCGACAGTCGAGCGAAATGCAATTTCGAGGACGAGCGCCGGTATGCTGGGGTTTGAAGGCAGAACACGGAAGGGGGAAGGTTTAAGAAGAAGATGAGAAGGAGTGAGGATCAGCGTGTCTCTTCGAGAGCTGCTCGATACATAGGGATAACGAGAATTTTATGCGAGAGCACATCCCCTCTCCCTCGCCTTCACTCTTTTTGCTTACTCTTCCTCTCTCTCTCTCTCTCCTTCCTTTCTTTTGTACTTCCGTTCTTCCTTTCTTTTCTTTCCTCTTTCCTTCCTTCCTTCCTCTTTTCGTTCCTTCCTTTTTTCTTCTTCTACATATATTCTCGTCTCTCACTTTCTGCAAGAAGAATCGCGGTACAGAAGGTACCTTGTGGGTAACCGTGACGGGAACGGGAAAGAAAAGAAAGAATATGTCTCCAATTTTCTAAGTAACTTCTGCTCTGGGCATCAAGCTTAGTGCACTTTCGCGTACAGACATATGCTCAAAAAGAGGCAGGAACATTAGACTGTTCTCGTATGCGCACGTGTGCTTATTCGTGCGTAAAAATATATGCAAAGTTCGTAATAATTGTAGAATGAGAAATAATTGAAAGCAGTTTCTGTACTTTATTATTGATTTTGATAATTTGACAAAAGCATTTATCTAATATTTTTATGTAAATATCAAGACACTATTTAGAAGTGACGCATATCTTGTAGAGGCAACGATTAGTTAGAATTAGTAAGATTTTATATATTTTTAAATTATTTTATATTTGTTCTATATTTATAAATCTTTTGAATTTCTGTTTCTAGTCAAATATGCGAATTTGTAGGACAGACATGCCAATAGCACATATGTGCGTTTTTCTCGGTTTAAAGGAACCGAGGTATGTGTACTTCAGGCACGTAGAAAGTCAAACTGGCTAGTAAATTGAGAGTCTGTGTCACGATTTTGGCAAGTTTCCAAGGAGACAAGTCTCTTCCTTGTTCGTTTCGTGAGCGACGATCGTCATTTGAATTATCCGCGGGTGTTAGTATAAAAGACTCGATCGTGAGTAAAAAGTACGATCTCAGGGTAACAAAGATTTTCTTCATTGTTCACTGACTGCTTCGAAGCTTAATCTTTCGTGTAAGAAAGATTTCTTCCTCTATCAAGATATATATTAGAGTTAAATATTTTTTATTAATAATTTAATATTTTTTAAAGAGAGAGAAAACGACAAAAATTATCAAATAATTTAGTTTTATATTTTATTGCGTGGTAAATTGTTATTTACATTATGGAAATTAATTTATATAAATTAATTCATGAAGTGCTTTTATATATATATATATATATATATATATATTCTTTTATTTCTATTTTATATAAAATCTCGTTTTCATGTTTTATACAGAGGTATTTGGTTTCTTTTATGTAAAAAATATTTGATTAATTTTATAACTTTGATTCGAATATTTAATTAAATGTGGATGATATTCTTTTTTATATAAAAATAAAAATTTTATTATTTTATTATTTCACAAAACAGATAGATCACTGTGCTAAAAGAATCATGCGTGCCACCTGACTTGTCCGAGTAACACCACAAAGCACATATACGTAAGGCTTGGATTTCCATCCTGAGCAATTATTCTGGTAATTAACGTCGACGGGTCATAAGGGTAGCGCGCCGCTGAATGGGTTGGGGTCGCCTGAGTTTATTACAAAGATATACGGCACCCGGAGACTCACACTTGTTCGCATTTTGTACGTGCGCAATATATACTTTCACGCTTCCGGCGGCTAGCCGGAGAATTTCAACTATTTCCGTGGATGATGGACGCTCCTGAAACTGTCCCGGTCGTTTGCGAAGCAGCGTTACAGACAAACATGCGACTTAATAATGGACGCGTTATGCGTAATCTATGGGCAACTTCCGTCTTGTACGCAATGCAATAATTTATCTGCTAATTGCTGAAACACCTGTAAAATGTACATAACGAGAGATAGAATGCTCCAATCAGAATATCATCTTTTTTAGTTAACTTTTTGCAGTTTTCTGCAAAATTTTGTCTCTGAATGTGTGTTATTAAGAATTAACAATTAAAAAAATATATTATAATTAGATACAAATAAGTTTTTAATTATAATAT